GTCTGAGGTGAGGTTTTTTTACAGGCTCTGGGGCACTAACAGCAAAGAACAGGTCTTGGGACCTTCCCTGCGGGCAGGGCTGGGGCTCTGCACCTTCAGGGACGTGCCAGCTTCTCCCGCCAGTCCTGGCGCACGGCTAGCCAGGCATGCCGTGGCTGGAGGAAAAAGGTGATGATGTCCCAGCTTCCTGCCAGGAAATATTTCTGAACTCCTGGCCTTGAACCCTCATCCTTCTCTGCTGCCATCTGCTTTCCTGGTGCCATGGTCCCCTCTCCGGGAGCACAGGTGAGGGATGGACGCGGAGCTGGGAGCCGGCGTGGGGCTGGTTGTGCCTGGGTTCTGCGTGCGCAGAGCTGCCCCAGAGCTGGCCTGGCCGAGCAGATGGAGGCTGTGAAGGGTGAAACGTTGGGAATTGCCATCCCAGCTGAAAGCAGAACCGGGCAGGAGCTGTCAGCCCCCAGCTGTCCTTTGCCTGAAGACACTGGCCAGGTTTAACCCTCACCTGGCAGAGCTGCCTGCTGCTGCAGCTCGGGAGCGAGTGTGGGAGGTTACCTGGGTTGGCACCAGCTTTTCTCATTATCTGGGGACATTTATTCTGCCACAGTGACTCGGTTTAATGAACTCCCTCACAGCTGGCATTCCGACGTAAGCCCTGGTAGGAAAACTAGAGTGCACCTTGTGTCTGCATGCGGTGTCGTCTCCAGCACAGGGCTCTTGAACAAAACCAAGCTACCTCCTTGGTGGCTTGCTCGGCCGTCTGGGCTGCTTCCCCTTCCCAAGGGGTGGCACGCGTGCCTGGTGTCCTGGCGGGCATGGGGAAGGTAGCAGAGCAATTGCTCCTGTCCTCTAGGCCGTCCCCAGCTTGCAGGTAAATTATGGCCTGGAGATGGTGCCCAGCCCCAGCTAACCTGGGACAGCAAAACCGAGGAGGAGGGAAGGGCAGGAGAGTGCCTCAGGGCGCGAGTCGCTAGGTGCTGCGGGCTGGCAGGGGCTGGGGAGCGGCTGGGACTCAGGGGTGCTGCCTGCTGCTGGTCCCTGCCTCGCCCTGGCATCTGGTGCCGGGACGTGTTGCTCCAAAGAAGCTGCAATATGAAATGCTTTTGCAAAGCTCTTTTCAGGTAAAAGAAACTCTCTTTGAAAGAAGTCGGGGGGAAGGTTTGTGGCAAGTGTGGTGTAGAGCCTTCTCTGTCCCTTGGGGAAGCTTTTGTTTTGGAGAGGAACCACGTCCAGAGAAGAGGGTGGCCCATGGCATTTGCTGAGGCTTTCTGGCTCCTGCTGTTTTATTTTGTGGGTTTGTACCTACAAAACAGAGACTTTGCCTGTGAATTCAGCTCCGTCGAGACTTAATGGACATGCTAGTGTGCACGCAGCAGCCTGCCAGGCTGTGGGTGCCCTCCCCATCACAGAGCAGCACCTACAGCAGCCTTTGGGAGTCCAGTACAGAGTCTAATCCTCCCACACTTAGCAGCCAAAAAAAAAAAAAAATCAAGCGGGATGCCCGTTCTGGTCCTTACCACACCACACAGGGGAACATGGCCCAGCCTGGTACCTGTTGTCCTTGTCCCCGGACAGCTGGAGCCCACTGCTCCCTGCTCAGCTTGACACCTGCAGGCAGGGAGCTCATTGGAAATGAGCTTAAAATCAGCTTCTTCAGAGCCACCGTGCTTCTTCACCAGAGGTAAGGAAGGAGCTCCGGGAGGGGACGAAGCCTTGGCAGGCTGGATACTGCTCTGGATAAATGCAGTGTGGGGTCGTCCCACGTGGCTCTGGCCCCAGCGTGCCGGACCAGTGGGGTGGTGTCCACTGTGCCTGTCTTGGGGGCTGTGGTTTTCAGCCCCGTTTCTGCTGGGGTTTTTCCCTGCCTGGTTCTAGCTCTGGATCTGAAAAAACCCAAACCTTCCAAGTTGCTGAGCCAAGGGGTCCTCAGCGAGCAGCTCCCAGTTCATTCCTGCAGGACCGCAGGTTATCTTTGCCCGTCTTGTTTTTCCTTGGTGCTCCCCAAGAGCATCTTTCCATTGAACGGCTTCTCCTCACGCAGGGTAGTACCCAGCAGACGAGTGGAGATTGTCTAATGAGAACACGGTGAGTAACTCCTCCCGCCCCTGCCCATACCTCAGTTGTAAAGCTGCGATGGTCTGCGGCAGACGTTGTCCTTCTCCTTTGTGCTCGTGTTTTGGCCTTGACTCGGCTTGGAGGAAGCTATGAATGAAACACGCTGGGCCTTTGTTTGCAGCCTGTTTTAGATACTCGGGGTACTTGGTGCCAAAGGGAAACATTTGTTGATGGAAAATAATGGATTTTATTGACTTCTAGGTGGGGGGAAAGCATTAAATAACTTCAGTGTGTTTTGAGGTTTGGGGTTCTAGCCAAGATGCTACGGGGATGAAGGAGGGAATGACAAAATAAGGAGCTTGTCGCTGCTGGAAGGGCAGGCTTGGGGCAGCAAGGCTCTGCCCGGCTCCTTGGCGTTGTGCAAGGGACTGATGGTGCGGTGTCTCCCCTGGCTGCAGGTACTGGGATGAATTTCACACGTGTGCCCTGACTGCACTCTGGGAGTGCCAGAAGGAAGCAGCAGCTGTCTGGGAGATGCTGAGAAGGGAGTCTCGAAAAATCAAATTTCAAGGCAGCTTGTTTGACCTCTGCAGCCCCAGCACAGCCCAAAGCTTTGCCTGGACCCATGTTCCCAACGTTTCCATCCTTGGCATCCCCCTCATCGTCACTTGGCTGAACTTATAAACTGCAGCTCTGTAAGTATTGCAACCAAGGTGGTGGCAGCGTGTGTCGTGGCATCTTTCTGATCACTTTTCCAAGCCTTTGAGGAATACACGGTGCGGCGCTCAGCGAACGCTTGGCTCCATCCTGTGCCTATCAGATGTGGAAGAGCTCGGCAGCATCTCCTGGGTTTTGCTGTTTCTCTGTAATTTGGGATAATGCCTGTCCCCTTCTGCCTCAATGCAGACACAGATCTGGCTGACTGCAGGATTTGGGAACTTGTAGATACAGGGCAGAGGATTTGGGGAAAAATGATAAATTGGTCGTGAATGCTGGATTCTTCTGCAGTCTTCTATGGCTACTGGAAGGAAACCCGTTTACTTTGCTGACTCTTTCCACCAGATTAAACTCTCCAGATTTTTTTATTTGGGCACTGAAAACAAGATGGGCATTTTTACCACTGACTTGTGGGGTGCAGGGGACGGTGTATGTCCTGTCAAAGGCAGAAAGGAGTCCCTACTGCCCTGTACTGGCCTTTTTTCTTTGAGGACATGGTGAAACCCCTGCTGAAGAATAATCACGGGTGCATGACTTCTTCTCTTGCACACATCTGGATTCCCAAGTAACTCCCGTGTTATGTGTAAATCCCTGTTCTACGGAAATAGAGGGCAAAAATATTTGGGGGGAGAGGGAGTGTCAAGCTAACAGGACAAAAATGATTTATAGCAACAACTCTTTTGCTTTAAAGCTTTCCCCAGGGTACTTGTAAGCAGCTCTGTGGGTGGCAGTGTGTAATTCCAGAATATTAAAGCTTGTTGTAGAGCCTACAGCATGGTAGAAGTTATTTGTCCTGGCTCTTGTTCGATAGCACGGCCTCTTCTTGTCTCCTTTGCAGCTCAGAGCGATGTTAGTTTTGCAGCTTCAGTACAAGCGTGAAAGTATTTGTAATAAAGAGGTGCTTGCAAGCAATTGTGTTAGAAAAACACAGCAATGTTATTGAGCAGTGCGAGGCAGTTCTGTTTTAAGGACAGTAATGTAGCTCTGTGCCCTGCCTGGCTGCGCAGGGCCATAGGAGCCACCCAGTGTGGGTCTGTAACCTGTTCCTGAGGGTCTCGGGCCAGTTCCTTGCTAAGAGGAAGCACAGCGAGTCCTCATGGGACTTTCTACCACTTCCAATGCATTCCCATGTGGTACTGCCACTCCGGAATGGGGAAAGAGCTGGTTTTCATCATACTCTAAATCAGGGCTCAACAGCTGGATGTGGTGGTGAGCTCCATGTTCAAATTATGGGACCCAGCTGTCTTTCATCAGATCTGAAATTTCCATGTTTAACTAGCAGGGTAGTTCAGCCTGACTTTCCTAGATGTGTCACACATCACTTTGGCTGTTTTCACGGATTGTTTGGCCCCTTACCAGGGCACTTGCTCTGTCTGCAGCAGGGGCAGGCAGCTGCTAACAGTGAAGGACAGTCCTGCGCAGAGCTGGGTAAGCCTCGTGGCTCCCCGTGGTCCTGAGAAACGTTGAACAAGGACCCTCGCGCTGGTGGTTTGAGCACTGCCTGCCGTGGGAGTGGGCACAGCAGTAGATACCACCAGCCGTAAATGGATCAGGAGGTTCTGAAATGGTGTCTCCAAACCTGAAAACATGCTTTACACTGTGAGCAGTAGATCTGGGGCCCTGCTAGCCCCAGGGATCCCACTGGATGCGTTACAGGTGCGTGGGTAAGCTGCTCCTACAGCAAAAGATCTTTTTACCAGCAGTGGTGTTGGACTTTTTAATGATGGGTCATGCTGCTCTCCTTTGGCACTCACATGTTTTCCTCTTACCTTCCTTATCACTTAACACTCTGCTCCTGCAGCAGCAGGAGGGAATGAATAAATTGAGGCAAATTCCAGGCAGTAAATCAGGGAGGTGCAGCTGGTGTTCAGACAGCACTTCAGCACGAGGCACCTAGGCTTTCAACAGACAACAGAGGTGTTACTTACGTACTCGGCATCTCAGGCACGAAGCCTTAAGATATGCAGTGGGGAAAGGGTAAACCAGAGGACTGCAGAACCTGGAGTGAAGCACTCAGCTGCTTCGGTTTTTCTTCGTATTCTGCTCCAACAGCAGCCTATGCTGTTTGATCCTGTTCCCCTCTCCTGCCTGTGGTCTGTAGCTGGGGAAAGCTGACACAGGTGGGTATTGTGTACAAACAAGGCTGGAGTCTTTTGAATCCAAATCTTGCACCTGCTTTTTGTTTAGAATAGGTGTTTAATGCCTTTAGGAAAACAAATAAGCACAATCCTCAAAACAAATAAGCAGAATCCCACAAAATCCCCAAACTCTTAGCTTCTCTTTGCATTTGGCATCATCTTCTCTGTTAAAATTTTTTACTTTTAAACAGCTTTGGGGAAGGGGAATGTAAAAAGTCTCAGCAGAGATCTCCAAGAAGTCTTCTTTTTGCAAAACCATGGATGCAAATGGCTAGCTGACAGTACCACTGTCTCTAAGAAGAGCAGCTGTTGGAGAGAATTTTCCCTGGAAGCAAATCCCTCAACTCTATTGCACACAAAACCCAAAAATTCATTAAGAGACAAAGACCATCTGCCACCATTCAGGTATGGAGCAGCAGATTTTTTTTTTTTTTAAAGCCAAAGGTGCTCCTAAATCTGACTGAAAGCATGTGAGTGAAAATTAGGTCTCACAGTATGGGAGTGATGAGTTTCAGAGGTTCCCTCTTCAACTGATAGTTCATTTTTAGAACTTCCCCTATGACTAGGACAATTACAGTAGATTTCCTTAAAAAAAAAAAAAAAAGGTAATATACAGATTCAGCCCTCAAGGGCAAAGTCAGCAGACTTTCAGAAAAGATTTCTAATCCTACAGCACCCTTTACGCTGATGCAGCGCAGCTTGTCGGATGTCCCACAGCCTCAGTGTTAAATCCACATTTGTCAAGGATTCCTCTCGTGGCCTTTCTCTGAGCGTCTCCAGATACAAAGCTGTACCCAGACTTCACCGCACCCGCAAGGGAGGCTGCTGAAGCAGTTACAGCATGGCTCATGTATTCAGAAAGTAAGGAGGCAAGCGTTCCTTGGTCCAAAGTTTTCATCCCTGTTCTTACAGGGGAACAAAGATAGCACCTTGTTAATACAGTCTCACAGCAACTCTGGGATCAACTGCCTGTTCTCCTTTAAGAAATGGGATGAATGTGGCTTTCCTTCTGCTCTCTCATAGTCACTGTAATTAGTCTTCTAGTAAGTAATTAGTCTTGCCTTAAGACCACCCCTGAAGAACACAGGAGTTCACAGTGCGCTTTGGTGTGGTGTTAAGCCTTGAATTAAACCTGCAAAGTTTCCCTGTGCAAGACTGGGATGTTCTTTCTTAAGAATAGCAACAAGAAGCAGGAGAGGACAAAACGACCCTGAAAGAGTCTTAAAATACGACTGATACCAAGCCAGTGCTTGTCAGCCCTGAGGCAGAGCATGCCCTCTGCTCTGGGCCCTGATCCCAATCGCAGCATGCTCACTGGTCTTTTCTGAAGGAGATACTGGCACCTACTGGAAGACCAGTTTATATCTAGGCTGAAGGCAACTGCAAGAAAGGCAAGTATCCTTATATATAACGAACAAGCAGCTTTTGAGAAGGGATGAACTGTCTGGCTGACTGCACAGCAGAGTTGCAGGGGAAGCCCTAGAAGTGACCTCTGGGTGGCCCTCCAGCAGGGTTGGCTCCTGCCCAGACAAAAACTTGTGTAAACTCTTCTCTCGGAAAGACTGCTGCTGTTCTAAAACTGTGCTTAAAGGGGTTTTGGTCAGGAAGAGGTCCTGGCAAAATATCAGAATATTAAAAGTTCTGTCTAAACAAATGTAACCGGCAATCCTCGTCTGTGGCAGACCTGCAAGTATTTAAAACATCAGGGTGTTATCCTGCCTCAATTTACAGTATCTGAATATGAGAGCAGGAATTGAAATACAGCTTCCCCCAGTAACAAAAGTCAAAAGAGCAGCTTCAAAGAGTTTATCAACTTCTGCATCTCAAATCATCCCACCACTTTTCAACAAGCTGAATTAGCAAATAATTTAAGCAAATTAACACTTATAAATATTAACATACAAAGGAAAGTTACTGCAGCAAGATACTGCACAGGAGAAAATCTGTCTTTAGAAGTGGCTTTGTCCTCACTTGGGATCACACAAACTGGCCATCCCAGGCAGGACGGAGGTCTGCTTGCTTGGGCTGTGGGATCTGGAGGAACCATCCAGCTTTAGCCCCTCAG